CACACCATATGTGTTCTCTAGACCTTTTAGAAAACATGGAGTAGTTCCTTTGGCAACATATATGCAAATCTACAAGAAAGGTGATACTGTAGACATCAAGGGAATGGCAACTTTTCAAAAAGGAATGCCCCTCAAATGTTACCATGGTGAAACTAAGAGTCTACAATGTTACCCAGCATGCTGTTGGCATTGTTGTGAACAAAGAAGCTGAGGGCAAGATTCTTGCCAAGAAAATGAATGTTCCTATTGAGCATATTAAGCATTCTAAGAGCAGACACAGCTTCCTAAAACATGTGAAGGAAAATGACCAGAAGAAACAGGAAGCCAAAGAGAAAGGTACCTGGGTTCAATTAAAGCGCAAGCCTGCTTCACCCGGAGAAGTACACTTTGTGAGAACCAATGGAAAGGTGCCCGAGCTTCTGGAACCTGTTCTCTATGAATTCATGGCATGATGGGTGTTAAAAATAAACTAATCTATGATCTATAAAAATTTTAAAAAATTACAACTGCTATATGGGCCAGCAGGTGGCATGGAGGTTAAGGCAGCTGGATCTCAAATGGCTGACCACATGGTTTGAATCCTGGACCTGGTGACTTGAAAACATGCCAGGCACATGTATATTTGTGCCCTAAAATCCCTAGAGGAGAATAAGGGGATGGGATTGTGGCGTGGCCATCCCCCATGGGCAGTGATCTCTCGCTTTCCCTATGTCTCTTTGACAAGATGACATCTACTCTAGCAAACAAACAAACTACAACTGATATAAGAGCTATAGGTAGATGCTCCTCCTTTTAAAATTTTTAAAAAGAATTATTTATTTAATTATATTTGTTACTGTGATTATTTTTAAATTTGCTATAGGGCTTGTCTATTCACCAGAGAGACAGAGAGAGAGGGAAAGTGGTAAAGCAAGTGGTTAGGTCTAGGACTCAAACCGCAGTCAGCCATGTGAGAGTCCAGTACCATAACCACCATGCCACCTGCTGGCTCCATGCTCCTCCTTTCTTACATGAAAAAATCTATCAAAATATTTAAGTGGAGGACCTGATGAATCCGATGAATATTCTATTTTTATTTTGTCTTTTTTTTTTAGAAATAATTTCAAACTTATAAAAGTATATGAATAGTACAAAGAACTCTCATGTTTGCTTTACCCCAATTTTCAACATTTTGCCACATTTGCTTTACCATTCCTGGTATTATTACTTTCTTATGTTTACGTTACTTTTTCTTTAAACTATTAATGGCCTTTTACTTCAAAACACTTTAGCAGAATTCTCCTAAGAATAAGAACATTCTCTTTCATAACCATGTTTAATTATAAAATTCAGAAAATTTAACCTTGATTTAATACCACTATATAATCTACAGCCTGTCTTCCAATCTTGCTACTTGTTTTAATAATAGCCTTGATGAGATTCTTTGGTTTCTTTTAATTTGGAACAATTCCTCAGCCTTTCATGACCTTGCTTTTTTTTATTTTTAATGAGGGAGGGCCGATAGTTTTGTAACTTCCAATTTGGGTTTGTTCCGTGTTCTCTCATGTTTAGATTTATGGAGTGATTTTTGGTGGGTACAGCACAGATATGGTGATGTAACGATCCTTCCTGTGCGTTACATCAGGAAACTCATACTGTCACTTTGCCCAGCTTGGCAATGCCTACTATCTTCTGATATTTTAATCATTGACCAGCCAAGTAAGAACAGGGAGAACAAAGAAGACACAATGTATTGGGATCCAGTTAAGTGAAAGGACAAAGACCACACGTTTTTGGAAGGTTTTTGGTATCTTGTTTCTAAGTTTCCTTTTACGTATAGCTTCGAACTTCCAGTTAGTTTGGGAAAAGCAAGCAATCGTAGTGCCGTGGCAAGGTGGATTTAGGAAGGAGGCCTTCAGAGCGCTTCCAGCTGAGCTGAAGTGTGTGCCGCTCAGACTACACGGGAGGTCCAGGTTTGATTCCAGGCCCAACCTACAGGCCAGGCATGGTGATTCACGCGTGTAGTCCCAACGACTCATAAGGCCAAAGTGGGAGGATTATAACAGCAAAAGGTTGTCTTAAAACAAAACAAACAAACAAACAAAAAACAGGCCAGCAGATGGCGTAGTGGTTATGTCACTGGACTCCCACATGGCCCACCACAGTTCCAGCCTCACGCAATTCCAGCCTCAGACTTGGTGGCTTCAAACTCACTCTGGACAGGTGTGCGTGGGTGCCCAAGATCCTGAGAGGAGAATGGAGGAGAAAGGATTGTGGTGTGGCCATCCCCCCTGGGGTACGATTTCTCACTTTCCCTCTCCCTGTCTCTGTTTCTCTCATCCCCTCTCCCCAACAAGCACACATGCCCTAAGGCAAAACCCTCTACCAAAACAAAGTGAAAATTACTTTTTCTGTCTAGGTTCAAACAGGCCCAGGCTGGGAGAGGATGTTCTGAAGGACTGATGGATGCCCCATCTTCAGGTAGGCAGGTCTTAAAGTGGATGGGGTGGCAGAGGCTGTAGGTAGACCCAGAGATCAGGAGGAGGGGCTTGACCTTCCTGGCCACCTTTTCCCACTTTATATCTGTGGAGTTTTTTGTTTCTTTAGTTTCCCCCCTTATTTATGATAGAATGTGTACATGTGCATATACATGCCAGAGCCAGAGCAAGGGTGAGAGAGAGAAAGAGAGAAAGAGAGCGAGAAACACCCTCCACAGGATCTGGTCACATGCTGGTCTCCTCCCTTCAGTCCCCCAGTCTGTTGGGTCATGGGTCCTTGCATGTGTGCCCAGTATGTTTCAGGCCAACCGGGCCCGGGGACTCAAACCGTGGTTGCCATGTGGGAACTGGCCTCCCCTGAGCAGCACATCACCACTGTGCCACAGAGCACATCCCACAGCCCGTGTTCGGAATTAACTACTGGGACTTCCCATTCTGTCTTCCTTTTCTGGTCTTGACACAAACATGGGGCCCAAAGAGACGAGAAGGGGAGGGAGTGATGTTTGTTAGCTCCTGCTATGATGCACCTATTTATGACTAACAGCTGAGGAATGGTCAGCTGAGTAATCAGGAAGTGAGTTCAGCAGAAAGGGGAAGCAAACAACAGCCAAGGGAGGCAGGTGTCTTTTCCGTGTCACATCAGGACTTGTCACGGGGTGGAGGGGGAGGAGGTTTTGTCCTTTCTCTGTGTTAATAATAATTCGATCAAAAATAGATCTGAAATTAAATGTTGCTATTTTAATTACCCAAACTATCCCAAAGGATAACTGAGTTGATTGAATGATGGAAATAGTATTCTATAATGAATGAGCCATTAATAAAAGGATGGGGGGCCTGCAGGTGGTGTGGTGGTAGAGGCAATGGACTCCCACATGGCCAACTATGGTTCAAGTCCCGGACCTAGAGGCTTGCTTTCTTACTTTCCCTTTCTCTGTTTCTCTCTGATGAATTAATAATAGTAATAAACTTAAAAATAAATAATTATTTTTTAAAAGATAGGGAAAAATAATGTATGTACATTTGTCTTTGTGAATTAAGCAGTACTATATTATTATTCTGGTTTAATAAAACATACTGGTTTTTTTAAAGAATTATTTAATTTTATTTATTCATTCATTTATCTTAATTTGAAAGACAGACACACAGAGAGAAAGAAAGTGAGAAAGCAAGCCACCAGGTCCAGGACTTGAACCGTGGTCAGCCATGTGAGAATTCCAGCACTTTAACCACCACACCACCTGCTGGCCCCAAAACATACTGTTTTAAGACAAGAATTAGAGAATGTGCCTGAGTGAAGGGATGGTTCGAATATACAGATGCTGAATTTTGATCATTCGTGTGCAGTAGTAATCTATTTTGCACACGGCATTTTCAGAGGAAAGAGGTAAATATGTCAGGGGAGGTGTGACAGAGGACCCTGACAGAGTTGGAGAGGAAGCACTGTAAGGATTTGTAGGAAACAGCAATGATCCACTGGGAGCCAGCCTGGATGCGTTTGTGTACATGTGAAGCTGACCGGTACGTGTGGTCAGCCGATCTTACCTAACTGCTCTCGAGCAGTCGTCCATGCTGCAGTTTTCTGAGCCAGCCACCAGGTGGCCTTTAATCCCCTCGGGTGTGCCTAGGACAAGTCTAGCGGGTCAATAGGACAGCCCTGGTGCCAAAGGCGGACCTCAGTAATCAATCCCACCCCAGGTACTGACTTATTACACTGCCTCCTTGTTTTGTGTAGTGCCTGCCAGATGGATAGGCTCTCTTCTGAGAATTTAAACAACACAGCCACGTAAAATGTAATGAACACTTCATTAAAAACTGTTTCTATTCATTCCTCCAGATTAATTTTCTACCTTTGACAATGTCTCTGCATAGACTTTATATCATTATAACAAATGTTTATTACTTGGTATTCTGCTTTTAATTCAGTCTTATTTTACATAGGAGAACTAACATTGCCTGCATGCTTATATTTTTATCTTTTAGAAAGTTATGTTTTAATGAGCTTCTCATTTTTTTTTCTATTAGTACAAATGGCATTGATACAGATGTGGGAGTTTTAAGATTTTTTTTTCTGTTGCTAGAGAACCCATGACCTCACCAGAGAGAGAGAAACAGAGACCAAGAGGGAGAGGGAGAAAGCGCCTTCCCAAGGGGCGTGGTCATAGTACAATCCCTTCTCCTCCATTTCTCCATCCTATTGAAATTTTGGGACACACAGGCACAGGCACCTAGTGTGTTTTTCAAACTGCAGGGGCTGGGACTTGAACTGCAGTTGGCCAGGTGGAATCTGGCTGTCTTAACCACTAGGCTATAGGACCGGCCTGAACAAGGAAGATTTAGATACCAAAGTAGAATTAGAGGATCGGAGAGTGATTTTTATAATTCTTATTATATATTTCTAGGTTGCTTTATAGGGGGGAAAAATCTTTCCAATTACCACTTTTTTATTTTCTTAAAGCTTCTAACCCCCAATAAAATAAATAGCAGGCCAGCTGGTGGTGTGGTAAAGATGACCAGATCCCACATGGTTGACAGTACAGTTCAAGTCCTAAACCCAGCAGCTTGAAAAACATTCCAGGCACATATGCATATATGTCCAAAATCCCAAGAGGAATAATGGAGAAGTGGTTGCAGCATGGCCATTCCCCCCCGGGACGTGATTTCCAAACCCCATCTCCACCCCCATTTCTCTACAGCGAGTACATGCACCCTATAGCCCAAACTAGCTAAATAACTGGTGTTGGTATCTTCCAAAATTGACTCCCGTCCGTCTCTTCTTTTGCCACCTACCCCCCCTTCTCTATTCAACTGACATGTGAACTTGTCCTGTGGGAGGAGATAGGATAGAGCGGACTGCGTTTTAGCAGGTGTATATCAGCATTGCTTAGGAGAAGGCCTCATCTATCATTCAGATTGAGTAGAACCACTTGAAAAGCTCTAGTTTGATCGGTTTTTATTTTAATAGTATAACGGTTTCTGGCGTTGCCTGAATCTATATTTCTTTCATTAGTAACAAGGCTTGGTTCTCCCCTACAATGATTACCTGTTTATATTTACTTGTCTGAAACTACTTGCCAACTCTGACCCCTCATCAAGGAAGATCTGAGCACTAACTTGATCAGTTTTTAAATATTATGTTTGTAGTTAGGTTTCTCACGTTTATTTTCCAATTTTAAATTTTCATTAAAATTTGGGGCCAGCAGTTGGCATAATGGCTGTGTCGCTGGACTCCCATGTAGTCGACTGCGGTTTGAGTCCTGGACCTGCTGGCTTAAACTCATGCTGGGTGCGTGTGCATACGTGCCCAAGATCCTAAGAGGAGAATGGAAGAGATGGGATTGCAGCGTGGCCATCCCCCCTGGGAAGTGATTTCTCGCTTTCTGTCTCTCTGTCTCTCTCTGTCTTTCTGGCGAGCGCATGCACCCTTTAGCAAAAACCTCTCCAAAAAAAAAAAAAAAGTGCTCCAAAGTTAGGATTGTTCATTTATTCATCCATTCAACAAAGTATTAAATTTTTTTCTGTGGCCAGTGTACTGTGATTCTAGGCTTGGCAATAAACAAAGACATAAGTAAACACTTAGGTTTCCCAGTTTGGAATTTTTATATCTAGAAAGGGGTTAAGCCAAGTACGGAGAAAGTTATATCTAAGACAGAGTTAAAGTGTCAAGACAGGAACAAATCATGTGTGCCGAGGATCCAGATTCTAACGTGAAGAGTCTGGAAAGCATGTATGGAGGAGGCAGTATCTGAGCAGGACGGGGAGCATACAGGTGTCCACGTGGAACTGAGGGAAAGGGATTCCTGTTATAACTCTCGTGCCAAAAACACAGTGGGACTTCTAATCCCGAAGATCAATGGGCAGAGTAGAAAAGAAGACAAAGGGGGAGCCCAAGTCAAGAACTAAATGTCTTCTGGAAAAATCAAAACTTTCAGGCCATTCCATGGCCTAGTGGTTAAGGCAACTGGATCCCATCTGGCTGACTATACAGTTCAAGTCCTGGACCTGGTGGCTTAAGAAACACACCAGGTATATGTGTGCTTTTACCCCAGATTCTGATAAGATGGAGAAATGGAGGAGATGGGATTATGGTGCAACCATTCCCCATGGTCTTTCTTGCTTTTCCTCTGTCTGTATATCTGTCTGTCCATCTTTTTCTGGTGAGTGCATGTGCCCTCTGGCAAAAACAAACAAAACAAAAACTTTCGAAAAAGGGAAGGCAGATAATGCTTCTTGGTAGCAGCTGGGGACAAATTAAATGTGTACCATCAAAGGATACTTTGAAGCAAAAGTATGCCCAAGAAACTAATTGATGTATAACAACAGCTATGAAGGGGGAGAGCAATCTATTGATTTATCCAGTACCTGACTACTAGATTAGGGGGAAAGTTTGTGGCTGCTCATCTTTGCTGCATTTTGGTGCACAATAGGCATTTTAAAAAAACATTTTATTTATCTATTTATTTACCTATTTATTTGTTGTGGTTTTTTTTAAGCTACCGGGTCCAGGACTTGAACTATGGTCGGCCATGTGGGAAAGGCACCAGCTTTTTATGCAAAATGCTGCATGATAACTCCAAGGGAAAGGGGCCGTATGAACAAGGTCAGAGAAAGGGCTGTCTGGGATCTGTTTAGGGAACAGTTGAGTAGTTAGCTGAGTGCGGTTAACAATGATGAGAAAGGGAACCAGGGGACACACCATGTGGATAATTGTTTGGATTAAGATCACGCAGGACCTTGATCATCCGCCAACTACTTTGGAGAGTTCCCTCTAAAGGGAATAAGAGTCTTTTTTTTTTCTTTTCTTTATTTTTTTTCTGAGAGAGAGAGAGATTTTTGTTCTATGGCACATGCGCTTGATAGAAAGACAGAAATTGAGAAATCACCCCCCCAGGACGCAATGCCATGCTGTGATCCCTTCTCCTCCATTCTCCCAGGATCTTGTGCATGCACTCATAGGTGCCCAGCATGTTTCAAGCTTCTGGGTCTGGGACTTGAACCGAGGATGGCCATGTGGGAATCCAATGACGTAACCATTACACCATCTGTTGGTCCTGTAAGTCTTTTTTTTTTTTTAAGTATTATTTTATTTACCTTTATTTATTATTATTATTTTCCAATTTGACCAGAGAGAGACAGAGGGAAAGTGAAGAAGCAAGCCACCCGGTCCGAGATGCAAACCACAGTTGGCCATCTGGGAGTCCAGTGCCGTTAACCACCATGCCACCTGCTAGCTCCCCCATGAATCTTTTAAGAGCATATCTGATCTGTGTCAGGAAGATCATGCCAGTAGCTGTTCATGAACCCTGTTCCATGCCTTCAGCTGCTTTCAAGGGTCCTTGAGACTAAAAATACTCTGCATTCTTATTGCCATCACCTTCTTAGGAAGGATAGACTTCATGTTTTGTCGTTCCTCAGTGTCTATATTCCCAACCCCAAGGTACAAGTTAGAAAGAGGAAGGGGCAGGAGGTTTCCTGAGAACAGGGAAAGGTGCTTGAGCCAGGAAGAGTTTGAGTCACATCCTAGTTGGATCAGGAGGCAACAGGGTGTGTGACTGGAATGGGAAGACAGCCTCATAGAGGAAGCAAAAACATGCCCAGGAAGCTAATGGATGTATGACAATTCAAAGGGTGAGCTGAGGACAGAAAAGAGGGCACGCTCTGGACATCAGTGGCCTGCAGGGTTGAGGCTAGCTCAGACCGGACTGCAGGTCTCACTCGAGCAGTCTGGCACTTTCCAACTTTGTACTAAGCCCTGTGTGTCTGAGCTGTGGCAGAAACTGTGGCTGGGGTCCTGAACACCCAAGTTTGGGTTGTGGTGCAGAGACATGTAAAAATCGGTGGCAAATTAGGAGCAAGAGAGAGGGACTATATGTGTATTCATATGTGCCATGTACTAAAGTTCCCTGTGGATGGAAGGAAAAAAACCCAGATATCTTTATGAGCAACCAAATACATAAAAATTATTTTCTAGCAAGGTCTTTACAAATGATATAATCCAAGACTCTGAAACACAGGTGTGATTTCTAAGCATCCTAATGTATAAAGGGTCTATTTTGGTGGGTGGGGGATGTCACTGATGGGAATCCGATGGATTTAACATGGAGTCCCAGCTGGTACCTCTGAGGGTTCCCTGAGCTTGAGGGCTTAGCTCAGACCTTGGAGTTTTAGTTCCAGCACCTGGAATTTTTTCTTTTACCAGATGATAAACTTATACCTGTTAAGTTGACAGAAGCTTGACATGCTCATTGGAATTTATATTTTTTCTTTAAAAAGAATTATTTATTTAATTTTATTTGTTATTTTTATTTTTACTTGACCAGAGAGAGAGAAAGGGAAAATGAGAAAGTGAGCTGCCAGGTCTGGCACTCAGACCACGGCCATGTGGGAATCCAGTGCCTTAACCACCATGCCACCTGTTGGCCCTGTTCATTAGAATTTCAATAAAATAAGTTCAGTCCTGTAGCCTGATGGTTAAGGAAAGCTGGATCCCACATGGTTGGTTGTGGGTTCAGATCTCAGTCCTTGTGGCTTGAAAAATTCACACTGGGTGCATATGCATGCATATCCCAAATCCTAACAGGATGGAGAGGAGATTGTAGCAGGACCATGCCCCGTTGGCAGGTGCTTTCTCCCTCTCTCTGAATCTGGTGAGCAAATGTGCTCTCTGGAAATAAAACAAACAAAAACAAAAAAAGAATGTCAGCAAAATGATTTGTAAAGGAGTTTCTCTTTGCAGCCTCCAGATGCCTAGTCTCCATTCATAGCCACAGGAGGAGCGCTGCTGTCATTTCCAGTGTAATGGTTTTTGGGTGACAGCATTATTCATCAGAAGGCTTCTTTCTAAGCTTAGAACCTAGACAAGGAAAGCACCATAGCTGTGAGGTATAATCATAAGGTTCCTGTAAAGCCTGGTGAATAATCCCTTCTCACAAGAAGATACTTCTCCAGAGACAGGGCTGTTTGTCCAGTGACTGCAGAAGCAGGGTCTTAGATGGGTTACATGCCTTTGGCAACTCTTGTCTCACTGCACCCATTTTTCTTCCTAGCCCAGCTCCTCTCTGACACATTCTCTCTTTAGCTGGCTTTAGTGTTACTGATTAAAGCCACAGCCGAGGACTCTTTCTGGCCTGACAGATGACACAGAGTCAAAGTGTCCTGAACTTGAGGGATCAGTTACTAACTCAGCTAATAGTGTTTATTAAATCAGGAGTTTGGGAAGGATTTCAGCTTCTCTGATTTTTTTTTTTTTTAAAGTTGACAAGTCCGTGATTCACATTGGGAAATCAGCATGACCCCTTTTTATATATATATATATAATTTTTTTTTCTCTCTACAGCTAAAGAAAAGAAGGTTAAGTCATGTGGATAAAACATTCTAGAGACATCACAAATTCCTACAGCAGATCTTGTATTCCCCTTTTCTGATTTCCAGTTTCTGCATTCACAGGAGTAGGTGGCTCTGCTTTGACAAGGAGTGGGTGTGATACATTTCCCTTGACCATCGCGTCCATTGTGAATCTTTAGCTCTAGTTGCTCTGGTCTTATTCAGAGGCTCCTCATTCACTTTTTTTTTTCTTTCTTTTTGAGAGATTTTTGCCATGATGTGTGTGCTCATCAGAGAGACAGAAAGTAAGAGATCACCACCCCCTCAGGGGTGTTGGCCATGCTGCAATCCCTTCTCCTTCATTCTCCTTTCTCCTCCATACATGCATTCACATGCACCCAGCATGACTTTTAAGCTGCTGGGTCTGGGACTTGAATCACAGTTGGCCACATGGGAATTCAGTGCCTTAACCATTATGCCACCTATTATCTTCTAACCTCTAATACTAGTTCCAGCATCACACTGTGTTGCAGAACTCTGTGTGTGTGTGTGTGTGTGTACATGTATATTTTCCTACGAAAATTTTAGAAAATCACATGATGGCGATCCCCTTTGAGTCTCACTGCAAATCTCTTCCAGATACTAGAGAGTGAGCGTGCAATGTTTGGAATCTGAGGCAGAAGATTTTTCAAGTGGAAATCCCAGAGGGCGAAGTAGATACAGCTCAGGGTGAATGAATGCCTTTGGGGCTGCTGGCAGCTTGATACATGAATGAGGACCAGATAGGATGAATCATCTCAGGAAACGCAATAGGTGGATGGAGAGGGAAGGGAGTAACGCCCTGTGTGTTCTTGTTTTAGAGCTAACTTATTGATCCACAATGATTTAAGCAAGTCATCTGACTCAGTTCTTCTGGAATATAAACACGGCAAACCCCACGTAATCACAACGATGAGGTAAGAGAGGAAGGGCCGTTGACCCAAGGAAATAATGCTGAGCTGTCTTCTCTGTGGCCTATCACTCTTCAGCTTCCAGGCCCCCAAGTAGTTCAAGATTACGTGATAGAAAGAGTGGGACTTGGAATCAGGCAGATCTGAATTTTCATTAAAGCTCCTCCATTTACTCTGCGCAGGTTAGTTTACCTTTCTGAGTGTTGTTTTTCTCCCCCTCTGTACAATGGAGGTATGATAACTACCTCACAGAGCAATTGTGAGGACTTAATAAAATAATACTACAGAAGTGCTCAATGGCTTGTAAATGCTCAATAGATGAAGCTTTCATTATTTAGAAGACAAAACTATGTCTTTAAAAAATGTTTTCATGGGAACCAGCAGTTAGCGTAATGGCTATGTCGCTGGACTCCCACGTAGTTGACCGCGGTTCGCGTCCTGGACCCGGTGGCTTAAAACTCACGCCGGGCGCGTGTGCGTGCGTGCCCAAGATCCCGAGAGGAGAATGGAGGAGAAGGGATTGTGTCATGACCATCCCCTCTGGGGGGTGAGTTCTCGCTTTCTGTCTCTATGTCTCTCTCTGGCTGGCTGGCGAGCGCACGCACCCTATAGCGAAAACCTCTCAAAAAAAAAAGGTTTCACAGGGCCAGCAGATGGCATAGCAGTTACATTGCTGAACTCTGACATGGTCGACTGTGGTTCGAATCCCTGACCTGGTGGCTTGAGACTCATGCCAGGTGCATGTGAGTGCATGCCCAAGATCCCAGGAGGAGACTGGAAGAGAAGGATTGTGGCATGGCCATCCCCACTGGGTAGGGGATTTGTCACTTTCCCTCTCACTGTCTTTCTCTCTCTTTCTCTTTGGTGAGTACATGAGCCCCAAGGCAAAAATCTCCCAAGAAATTGTTAAAAATTCATGTTTTTAATTCTACTTTATTGGATAAATTATAGTACTGTAGTTTTGTTGGAGGCTCAGAAAGTACACACTTTTTATTTTTGATTCTGGGTAAGTATAAGAAGGAATCTTGCCTATTTCTATCCAGCTCTGCATTGGTTCCAGTAGTTGTGGGTAGGTGCTAGGTACGTTAGCCATGCAGAACCCCCGAGGGTATGTGATAGTGGGTGACTACGTAAAGGCCTGAGAGAGAACAGGCCCACCAGACACAAAGCTACCAAGGGGATCCGTGAAGGCATGTGCTGTTTTAAGAGCTGTTGGTTGTCATCTGGGACTTTTTTCTATGCTTGTCACTCCTTTATACAAATGATAATTGGTATCTATAACCTGGTATATTATGGCAAAGGACAATGGAATATAGGGCAGAATATAAATTAGTGACTATGGCATATGCTCTAAGATGAATATGTATCAGTAGTGTTGATGTTGGTATAAGTGCTGGATCAAGGGCTGCACAAATTAAACATTTCCCTTCCATGCCTGCCTTTTCCAGGTAATGACTCAGGTTAGAAATCTTGATGTCCTGGGACCAGCAGTTAGCGTAATGGCTATGTCGCTGGACTCCCATGTAGTTGACTGTGGTTCACGTCCCAGACCCGGTGGCTTAAAACTCACGACGGACGCATGTGCGTGCGTGCCCAAGATCCCAAGAGGAGAATGGAGGAGAAGGGATTGCGGCATGACCATCCCCCCTGGGGGTGATTTCTCTCTTTCTATCTCTATGTCTCTCTCTGTCTGTCTGTCTGGCGCGCGCCCTATAGTAAAAAAAAAAAAAAAAAAAAAAGAAATCTTGATGTCCTAAAAAAACAAAACAAAACAAAAACCCCAAAAACAATAATAATAAAAATAAAAGAAGTTAACAAAAAAGAAATCTTGATGTCCTCTTGGGTTCTTCCTTCTCTGTCCCTTTCACATCTAAAGGTGTGTCTGCTGCCTAATCAACCTATACAGTGTTTCTGTCTCTTCTGCACACTCCCAGCCTAGGTTGGCCTTCTTGCCTGGATGTAATAGTGTGAATTCTCCCCAAAGCAGAACCTGCTGCAAGGACCTGAGTGCAGGGAATAGGATGATCATCAGACCACATACGGGTCCTGCCCTGTGACCAAAGCCAAGTGCAGCCATCTGCTGCTCAAAATGTCAGTACTTGAGGAGCAAGTGTTGGTGAGAAGGAAAAGTAGTTTTATTTAGGAAACTGGTGGCCTGGGAAGATAACAAACTGATGTTCAAAGACCATGTCCAAGGTCTCAGGCCAGGACAGGGTATTTTAAAGAGAAAGAAGATAAGGAAAGTAAGAAGGGGAAAGGGTGCTATGTGCTCTTCTGCACGGCCGCATTGTTGAGACTTCTTGGCACCAGAGTTGCTATGCACATGGTCACTTTTCCCTCAAGGGCAGCGTCGCTTTCCTCTGTGTTTTCTTAGACATCTGCCCTCTGGCTGTGGTTTCAAGGCCTAGCTCCTGTGAAAACTCAGCCAAGTTATGATTAGGATTTTTGCTACAAGTTAAACAGTAAAGGCAAGTCACTTAGCAATAGGCGAGCAAGCTGTCTTTGGGATAATCTATTATGTCGTGTTTAATATGGAGTTACTTTGGTTCTTTCTTGTAGTTTGGCTACAAGAGTGAGAGAGACAGGAGGGGGAGATGGGAAAGGAGGAGAAATCAAACTCTATGTGCATTATTGAGGGCTGAGATTACTTTGGGCAGTAGAGCTGTGGTCCTCCTGGCTCCTTTTAAGAAGGGCCTTTTAAGAGTACCTTTTAGAATTGTCCACCCGAAGGACTTAAGACATTTATTCAATGCTTCTGTCCACGTTAGTTGAGAGGGAAGGATTTAAGACATTAAGAACCTGTACTTCTGACCTGTACTTGCCTGGGGCCTAGTGGGTTCTCAGAGTCTGAGAAAGACTGAGGCAGGCAGCTGAAAGACTGTATGTCACTTGGAATCACAGGTAGGCTGAGCAGAGTAAAATCTTCCTACTTAGTCATCCTGCCTGGAGCTCTGGCTCCAGTCTACCCTACGCAGGATGTTGGTTTAATCTCCCTAAGGATCAGCTCTTGCCAGGTATTTCTCTGCATGGAAGTCTTCAGTCTCTCTTCATGATATCCTGCAGCAGAGCCTCCAACTCCTTGGACTGGTCCTCTAGGTCCTTTGGTGCCTACTTCAAACTCTTAAACATTAGGTGAAACCCGCAGCCAGTCAGCTGGCGTTCTCCAGTTCCTCAGTGCTGCCAGGCTTTTCCACCTCTTGTTTGGCCGTACTTACCCACATTGCCTAGAGAGCTTCCTCCTCTCTTTTGCATTTTTTAAGAGAGATTTTTGCTATAGGGTGCATGCACTTGCTGGAGAGACAGAGACAGAGAGACAGAAAGCAAGAAATTCCCCCCCCCCAGGGGGGATGGCCATATCACAATCCCTTCTCCTCCACTCTCCTTTCATGATTTTGGGCATGCATGCACATGCACCTGGTGTGAGATTTAAGCTATCGGGTTTGGAACTTGAACCATGGTTGACTAGGTGGGAGTCCAGCAACGTAACCATTACGCCATCTGCTGGTCCTTTCTCCTTTGTGTTTTGATGTCCTATCCACCCATCAAAGGACAGTTCATGTGCCACTTCTACTCACTTTCTATTGCTGTGTAACAAGCTACCAGTTTAGCTAAAGGCTTAAACCAACAGCTACTTATGACCTCGAAGTTCTGAAGATTAGGTGTCTGAGCACGTCCAAATGAGGCTCTTTATTCAAGGCCTTCTAAGGTGGAAATCAAGGTGTCAGCTGGGCTGCACCCTGGTTAAGCTTTCTTTTGCCATACGAGGCTATGTAATCATGGGAATGATATCTCTTCATATTCACAGTTCTGCCCACACTTGAAGGGGAAGGATTAGACAAGAGGAAGGAAACACTGGGAGTCACTCTTAGGATTCTGCACACCATACCCCCTCTTCCAGAAAGTCTTTCTGATCCCTTCTCAGAGCACTTTATGATTATTCGCTATGCATACATGGGCGTTACGGTGATCCATCATCCTCTCTCCACAGAGAATAAAAGGCTATTGTCATTGCTTACCTTCCATTGTCTTTCTTGGTATTAGTTCTTCATAGTTCTCTGTTACTTTTGTGTAATAACATATTTGATGCTGTACTATATTTAAATACAGAAAGATACATAAAAGGCGAATTTTTAAGTGTTAAAATACATGTATGGAGCAACGAAATAAGTGAGGCCCTATAGGAGAGAAAGTTTGGAATAGATTTATTTTAGGTCATCGGGAAAGTCATGACATATTTTTCTATATAGCCTAAAGGTTGTCTGCACTTGCTGGACAGAGACAGAGAGAGAAATACACAGAAGAACCACTCCATTGCTCTCTCGAAGTTCTTGGCACCCAAGAACTAACATACTTGGTAAAGGTTTTATTTCTATTGGAAAGTTCTTCTGATTAATGCTTTGTACCTTCTTTGTTTCTGGAAGCTTATTCTCAGTCTTGTTAAAATTCATGATATACGCTGCTCACATTATCTAGAAGGAGCCACTGTATGACTATCCACCAAGATCTGCTAACGCCTCCCTCCCCATTTAGGTTAAACCAGCTTTGGGCTCACAATCTTATCCTAAGACCTGGTTTAATGGTTATCTTCAGTACATCTTCAAATCTGCTCTCAAAGTCTGCTGGTCAACATTGCCTTCTCCAGGGGCTAGATGGTGGTATAATGAACACTCTGTGAAGCTGACCCATGGAGGACGGTTTTGGATTTGTGTTCAGATATCTTCCTGAACATACAAAATGCATACATGCCCATCATCTGGGAGTGGCTGAGGTTGGGGGTGCATTGGGACCCTGTTGGAGGTCCTATCTTTCTCTCTTTTTTTTCTCACTCATGGAAGAAATAAACTTTTTAAAAAAAAGAGTAAAGTTGGGACCAGCAGTTGGCGTAATGGCTATATCACTGGATTCCCATGTAGTCGACTACAGTTCAAGTCCCAAACCTGGTGGCTCAAACTCACGCTGGGCAGGTTTGCGTGTATGCCCAAGATCCCAAGAGGAGAATGGAGGAGAAGGGATTGTGGCATGGCCATCCCCCCTGGGGGGTGATTTCTCACTTTCTGTCTTTCTGTCTCTCTCTGTCTTTTGGGT